ATAAACTTTTGATAATTGATATTTTAAAAAATAAATTCCATTTGAATGAAGCTCATTATTAATATATGCAAAAAATCATATAGGTATTTTTTTAGAAGTGCCAGCTTAAATTGTGATACTAGGATGTGAAATATTGTGACTGTAAACTATTATTTTTGAATTGTTAGATCCATTAATCTTTTAAATGAATGTAGAGATTTAAATAATATGCTCTGAATATTTTTAATCTTTCTAGATTTTATATCAATTTGAAATTATTATTTAATTAAATATATGCAATTTTCAATTCACAATTTTTAAAGCCTAAATCTCAAAACCTAATAGTTTGAAATTTGTCTTAGAAAAAAAAATGTCATCCACGCAGAAGTTTTCAATTTATTACCTGTATAATTTAATTTGTGCTTCTTATGCAATCTACATATTAATATAAAATCTCTTAAATTTTCCAAAATAATAACATCATCAACATATCAGTCAAATGAAATATTGTCTTAATACTTTCAGAGCATAATTTCGGTTTCAGAGCATAATATTCGAAATATATGTAAAGTTCTGAAGGATTAAGTTTTACACTTTTATTTATTAATTTTATCTAAATAATAATTACTGAGGGATCATTAATTAACAAACATTGATTTATGCTAATAAGATGTTTCATATATTCAATTATTATTACTTTAATTTAAATGGAAATAAATTGAAATATAAAAAACTTTATTTTGATTCACTTTATCAATTTAAATATTTAAAATTCTATAATAAGTACCATAAAAATTAACATTAACATCATATTGATAAAAATGAAATTTTGATTAATCAACTCGTATTAATGAATATTCTAAAATTTTCAAAGTCGATTGAAATTTCTAAACATCAAGTTCAAAGTTTTCTGTTATTTCAAATATGTATTTTATAATTTTATTTATTCGAAAATTGAATGCAATTTTGTTACAAAAAATATTCTCTTCATCTGTAAAATTTGGAAACAAAAATTTCCTCTTTTGTAGATACTGAATGATATAATTTTAAAAATCTTTTGACTAAGATTTGAGATTGAACAAACAATGAAGAGAAATGCAAAATATTATTTAAAATTTGAAAATTCTCTAGATTTTTATATCAATTTGAAATTATTATTTATTTAAAGATATGAAACTTTCAATTCACAAATTTTAAAGCCTAAATCTCAAAACCTAATAGTTTGAAATTTGTCTTAGAAAGAAATGTAATTCATGCAGAAGTTTTCAACTTATTACCTGTATAATTTAATTTGTGTTTCTTATGCAATCTACATATAAATATAAAATCTTTTAAATTTTTCAAAATAATGATATCATCAACATATCAGTCAAATGAAATATTATCTTAAAATTTTTAAAATAATTTGATATCAATTAATTTAATAGATTTAAGATGTCAATCATCTTGATTGTATAACATGCTATTTGTAAAAATTGCAATCTTGATATAAGATATATATAATTTTCATATAAATTTAAATAAATTTATTCACTACTTAATTTTTTGCAAAATGTAACATAATTTAATTATTTCAATGAAAAGATAACTTTATTCTTTTTAATCGTATAATCAAATAATTTTTCTTTCAGATCAATGCATATTAGTTGTTTTTTTAAAAAATCTAACCAAAATGTTGTCAAGAAGTGCATGATATATATGTAAGATACAAGAATAGAAAGATTTATTGACCATATAAATCATCTAGAAACCAATTCAGGTAACTTGTAGCATACTTAACTATATGTTAGAATATTTTGTTGAATCTTGTTTATTATATAGAATTAGATTTTATATTACATGAAAATAATAAATTTTTTGAAAATTATTAAGATTGCTTCAATTAAAAAAAATTAGCAATTTTTTCCAATATCAAAAAATTATATCATCACAGATTCAATACTGTTTGATATTTTATTCAAATAAAATCTATTTTTACCAATTATTAATTAAAGGTAAATTTTAAATAAATTTATGTTGAATTATTAATTGAATTATCTTTTAAAAACATTTTTGAAATTAAATTAAAATTTTAAAAAATAAGTTTAAAAAAATATTTTCTAAACGAAATCTATAGTCATGTTGTTCATCAAATATGCAACTTTAAAGATTGATAATAATTTTTATCAACAGCATATTATTATGATAACAGCATATTCTTACACTAAACAATGTATTATTTACTAATAATACATTTTTTAGTATAAGAATATGCAAATATATTTTAAGATATTAGTATATACAATTATTGAAATAAATTTGACTATTGACTTATCAATAGTTGCAAAATAAAAAATCGTTCTTTTAAATTAAAAAAACTATATTTAAACGTAATAAATGATCTTTAGTTTTTATCATAAAAATTCATTCTTGGAATTTTTTGGTTTTGATCTTCATATGTTTCAAACTGTTCTTAAATTTTAAATAAGTATAAATAAATTACATAAAATATGATATTTTCATATCATATATTTTATGTAATGTTCATAAAATATGCTAAAAAAAATGGTATTTATTATATTTTTCATATAATGATATTTAATTCAAATTTTGAATTTTTGTCGTGCTGACTTTGTTGATGCTTGTATTTTAGCAAGTTTTATATTTGAAACCTCATATGTTAAAGCTCATGTGACACGTGTAATTTTGTATCATTTTTTTAAATGGATTTTTAGATTGAAATGAATGAAATCAAAAGTTCATAAATCAATTCATTTAAGTTACATTCATAAAGAAATGCTATCCGTTTCTTTTATACCTTTACCAGAAACATGAAGATACGACACATATGTTTCTCTGAGGTGTATGTGGAGACTCTAGCCTGACGTCTAAGCTTTGACAGCAGCTTCCATCTGTACTAGCACTCTTCTGTACGGATTTGGCTGCTGGCATGAGAGTGGACAAGCTCGGCAAGCTTTTCATGTCTCATGTAGCTGGTTCATTGTGAACATGCTTTGTCGGAGCTCATGGAATGGAATTTCCGATAACAACAAGGAGTTCCAAGGTCAAAATAATGGGAAAGTAAACATGCAAAATCATTTACTAAGAATCATCAGGAACCTCTTTTCATGATGCAAATAAGCATTGACGATTATTGAGTGCTAGTGAAATTTCTCAGTAATTCACAAACGCCTTTCAAACTAGAAAGCATGCTAAATCCTTTATCCTGATGTGTGAAATCAGTAGAGATCTCGTGATGAAAGACCCCACGTACAAGAACTGAAACTCCATCAGAATCTTATTCAACATACCGCACGCCAGAGGCTGCCAAGAATTCGTCAATTAAACGATGCTACTGAGGTTGTGTTCCACAAAGCATAAAGAATGTCGAAAGGTTGAGGGGTTGTTGAATTACCTAATGCTGGAAAAGCATGGGACTTGAATCAAATGATGTGACTCTCTCTCTCTTTCTCTTTCTTTAACACAGAGAGAGAGAGTTCATTCGAACAAGCATGCAGAATTCAGCCTCGTCATCACAAAGGCTCATTTGAAGGACAGGTTATACTACCACCCCAGGATTTTATATGATCTATATGTTCAGGAATTGAGCGAGACGCTAGCTTGATATAAAATACTGCAGTTATATCAGCGACAGAATACAAATACAACGCGAGTTGTAACTTATGTCTGAAAAACAGCAATCTCGAGGGCAGATGAGTCGTGTAAACCCTGCGAGGGTTCACGTGGTTGACAAGAGTAACAAATGAGCATGCACATGTGGAAGGAGCACTTCCTCTCCATTTTAATTGGCTTGAATGAAAATCGGCGACCAATCTTTCAAGTCCCTGAAAGATTGGTCGCCGATTCATGAAGCGCGCTGTTGCAATTTGCTTCAGGAAGAGTGGTCTTTGAGATATTTTAAGCAAGGAAACTTGAGGAACATGTGGAAGCATCGTCTTGGACGATGTCTCCGCCGTTTTGGACTCTATAACATGCATTTCTCGGAATAATACTTGTTTCATAGTATCGTATAACCATGTCGACACTGGCTGATTGCGTTCATTCAGAGACACCATATCCCTCGATTATGAGTATTTGTCCGAATCCTAGCGCACGGAGCTTGGACTTAAACTCCAAAATCCAGTTCAAAATTGAGACATCTTTCCGTTTGTCTGTCGGTTATGTGCGAAATCAACATCTGATAGACTACATGATGATGCACTCAGAAGCCGTTCAATACATTCGTCCGAGCTCATGCGAACTTGTACAATTACTGCTTTTGCAGCATTGGAAGTCATCACCATTGGATGTCAGACTTTATAACTAGTAGAGAAACTCAGCGTTCAAGTACCAACTCGAAGGGGTTAAATTGCATTGTTTTTTTTCGAACATATTCTCTCTAAGAGCACGTTGTGCTTTGCGAGTAGCAATGCTCTTCAAACTTGCTAGATCCAACGTTGCCTAGAACTCACTTGACAATGTGACAGTAACAAATGTGGATCTGTTCTGCTCAGTGTCCAGAAGGATAGGCATTACACGAGGAGAGTAGTCGCAGGAGGTCATTGAGACGTATAGCACTAAGTTTGATGCTAGTTTCACGAAACAAGCACCGTGACAGAGATGATGCTTCACTGTAGTTCATTCCATACAAGGAATAACTTAAGGCCGCCTCGACTCTCCTCTCAGGAAAAGGACGTATTCAGTAAATATTTTTGTGGAGGATCTGTTTGTGTCAAGGGTCTCGACCTCTAAACTCCTCTGAGGGAGCTCAAAGCATTCCACGAGTCATTCTGCAGGTCTAGTTCCGTATCAAGTACGTGTACTGTACTAACAAGCATATGACCAGTGGAGACATAATCGAGATTCAACTCTTGTCGTTCTATAGCTATCTACAGGCATCCCGACATGAATCCAACAACTGAGACATTGCCACTTGTATTACAAACTGTCCAATTAAAACTCTTACTTTCTAAATCTTTTTAAATATCGAATTTTAGAATTTAACAATTGAAGTATATGTATGCATGAGCGCATATCTTGAGTGCTCACTTGTTATCATAATTAGGTCTAATCATTAACTTCAACTAGGGCGAGCTGTGGGAGATCGCTGACAACTGCCAGCGACATCACACAAACTATCATGCAAAGAAGATAGTTGAGATAACGAGCCAAAGTAAGTAAAAATCTATGGATCTCCTCTGACCCTCTTTGACCAAATGCCGTAGTTTCCATTTTTCCTCTGCGAGCTCATGTGATCAACAGTTTGGGATGCCAAACCACAAATAGAAACTTGCTTCCAAACATCTTCTTCACAATCCTGGACTCGGTCTACCCTCTATGACCATCAACTGTGGCTCGCAACACCAAACTATGCCAAGATGAGACGGTAACATACACACAATACATGAAGACCGTTTTAACTCAACAAGGGCACATAATTTGGTGTGGGTCGCAGCACAAAATTATGGACCCTTTATGAGAGAAAGCGATCTTGATACCTTCAGTGTATCTTACCGTCGCATCTTCGAAAACACACGAAATGTAACCTGGATTAGTGGGTGGGAGAAGTTGAGGGTTGAAATAATCCTTCCATCTCATATATGTACATTCATCGCTTGCGGTATCCGGAAGCAAGCCTCTGCTCGATTCCACCTTCTCCAGGAAGGCTTGAGATTTAGGAAGGTGGTTCCACTGTACTTTATGCAAGTTCCACTTGCTCCGGAAGAAGGTACAATTTTAATGTTCAAAATTATACCTTCTTCCACATCAAGTGGCCCGTAAACTTGGAACTTGCATAAAAAAAATGCACCCTAAACCCTAATACATCACTTCCTCGTATGTAGAGCTTGACACTCCACGCACCGACGGGGAGTCCATCGTAATAGGTACCGACGAACTCCTGGCCCACATCCAGGAAACTCGACCGAGTGTCAACCGAAGACGCAGCCGAAGACGTAGAAGGAGGAGAAGGAGGTCCAGAGCAAGAATTTTCCGAGTTGATTCGTCGAGGCATGCCCGAGTACTTGGGACGAATGTTGTACATCATGCGCGACCTTTGCGTATGAATTGCCCTTTCGTCTGTGTCCCAATTTGCGCCCTGGGATCGACCCCTTCCCATGCTCATGTACTCTCCGAGGCCCGTCGCGGAATCGGGCAGAACGAGGACTTCCCTTCCGAACCCACCCGACCGACCGAGCTGGCACTCGAGCTCTCGTCACGCGACCTCCTCCTCATTCGAATCCCCAGCCACGCTCCATATCAACGGTCTGGGCACACCCATCTCCATTTTCGAATTCCGTGCCGTTGCTGTGTTCATTATTTTTCTGCTTATGGCCGCTTTCCTGTCGCAGATAGTCCTCAACTCAACTCTTTTTCTCCAGCGTTCGATTCAATTGAATCCGACGGACGGAGGAGCACATGAATTCCTCTCACTGCTTGCATCGGATTTTCAATAGTATCTCCTGAGTGTCTCTTGTATCTCTTGCTATCGACGATTTTCGACTTTCCGAGCTGGGAAGTACGAAATTAAGAGCTTTGGGACGTATTTCACATTGTGATGCAGCCTTGATCTTTTGGATTGGGTATTCAATTAGCTGGCCTTTCGGATGACGACTAGGACCACCAGCCGATCATCAGATCGCCTGGCTTGTGAACGTACGTACAGATGAGATCGAAGTCCTGAGATAGGATTTGTGAGTGTATCTCTGATACAGTTATCGCATGCCCCTCCGCTACCCAGACCTGTCTTCGTATTAAGGAACAAGGGTACTCCAAGATAATACTGCTACCTACCTCTGTAACTGGATACATATTCAACATATGATTCTATACTTCTTTCAAAACCTGGCGAGCTCACTGACAGGAGTCCTTAATCTAGCAATCGTGCTTATATGATTAGCATCTTGAATGAAGTTGGAGTAAGTTGATTTGGAAGCTATTTCAGGGTTTTAATCGCTTCCACCATCTTCTAGGAGTAATAAGAGAAACACAGCAGATTTTCCACTCTGTATACTGCACTTACTCTAAATCCAAAGCAAGTATACTTTCTTCTGGAGCACAGAACCATATTAGAAGATTCTATGAGAAGAAAGAAATACTTTAGCAAAGTACTAAGTACTGGTACTTACACAAAGGTTTCAGGTTTCTGTAAGGGACGGCTAGTTATCCGTCACCTAGGGGTAATTAGCACTCACCCTACTATACTTATACTATACGTCACTCATTGTATCAATCGGTGGTTCACTCGGGCTATAAGTAAGTCACTTATTGGTTCACTCGAGCTATAGAGTCCGTGCGGTAAAAAGTAAACTTTGCAAGTTCTAGTCTTTATGATGTAGCTCGAAGCCTTGGATGTATGCGGAGTATTCAACCTTCATACAGGACCAGAAGGTTAGTAAGCAGGCTCGTCTTAGTCATGATTCGAAAGAGCCTTGCGAGATTCCCCTATAGATCCTGAGGTACTATCTGCAAGAAATCTTGCAGATATGTAGTGCATGTGCCCAGTACTAAAGGAGCAAAGTACTTCCAAGAAAAATCCAATTCATGATCAACCATCTTCACATCTTCTGAAACCACTAAGGTCAACACAATGAAGTCCCTGTTTGTTCTTGCAATTCTCTCGTTGGCATTGATGCTGGGACAGCGTGCATCAATGGCCACAGCTCAGAAAATAGTCTTTGCTCACTATTTAATTTACGCACATGATTTCATCAACACGTATAAGCGGAAATTGAGCTTGCTCAAAGCAAGGACATCGACTCATTCGCATTGAACATCAATGTCTACCAAAAGAACTTGTTCGATAATAATTATGAGATAGGTCGGGTCCAGCTTCAAGCTCTTCTTCTCAGCTGACATCCACGACAATGGCAATGACCACCTTTCTTCGCCTCTATCAGGCTTATCATCCTCCAAAGCGGACATAGTTTCTCTCGGCGGGAAAGAACTCTTGTGGCGTGACGAATCTTGACGTGGCTACTCGAACACGGAGGTGGCAGTCAGGCTTCTTCCCTGGCTTTTGACATCTTGGCATCTTTGACATTGATCAGAAAGAGTAGAATTTGCAAAGTTTACTTTTTACCACACGGACCCAATATCCCGAGTGAACCAATGATTGACGTCTGTATAGTAGAGTGAGGACTAATTAGCCCAAGGTGAGAGATAACCAGCCGTACTCTTCTGTAATTGACCAAAATAAGTATATTCAGGCGAGTTATCCCTGCTTTCATATATTCAGTTACTTCGTATTATACAAATGAATTGAAACACCATACCTATCCATAGAATAATTCAACCTATTTAAGCTAAAATTATTGATATCTATATATTGCAAAAAAATTTGAGTATTAGTCTTTTGTAAACGTTGTCTAAGAACAAATGGTTGATGTCAAGAAAGTAATTTTTTGGATATGTTAGTATATACGAATATTATCCAAGATCTATTTGGTAAAACTTACTGTACATAAGAAGACAATTTTTCAAAGAAAAAAATACACTTAAAAATCTTATAAATAACCTAAAGTAAATATATTAAAACATACAAATTCTTTACCACAGTTATAGATTTTTTTATTGATTTATGAGTAACATAATTTTTTAGCCTGAATATAAAAATTACATGTTTTTTTCCAATGTCATGAAACAAATATGTTGTTTTGTTGTTATATTGATATCATATTTCCTAGATTTTTTTCCGACAAATATTCACGTAGCAATGATATTGAATTGAGAATTGAGTATTTATAAATGTTGATGTTGGTATGAGCTGAAATTTTGAATTAAAGTTCACATTTGAAAATACCAACTTAGGAAAATTGGAGAAAAATGTAGTTTAAAATACTACATGAAATCAATTTGAGATAATATATACAAAACATGTCATGTTTTGAATATTAAAACAAGATGAATTTGTTTAGCAAAATCTTAGGAATTTATATTCTTGTCTTCAGAACTTTTATCATTAAAAAAACATCTTCAGACAAAATATTAAAGTGAGATATAGTGTAAGTTATATTTACAAAGATATTTTTTTATATTAAGATTTGGCTTATGTGATGTTATTGATTTAAGATATAAATACACATACATATGCTTTATATTTATTTTATGCAGATGATATCATATTACTAGCACGCGATGTCGTTAGTTTACATAAAAAGATATTCAGTCTTTGACTAGGTTTTCTACCCAAAATAAGATGAAGATATATATAAAGAAGTCTAAAGTCATAATAGTCGGAACAAGTTCCAAGTTTTCCATCTATACAAGGATCTACAATTAGAAGAAATGAAGAGTTATAGATATTTAGGTATTTTTTTCCTAATGATTATAATTGAGCACTTTGCATGCAAAAGAGAATAGACGTTGGTTACAAAACTCTATATTCACTTTAAAATCCGTGTAGAAAAGTTAATCTTGTATATATGAGTTTTAGGAAACTTTTCTTTGTGAGGGCATAGTGCTGCCGGTAGTATCATATGGAACCCAAGTGTAGGGTTTTTGTTGTAAGAAGACAGGCCGAAAGCTTGTGGAGAAGGTGAAAACGATAATTCTACAAGAAGAATTGAGTGTAAGAAACCAAACCCCATATGCTATTCTTCTTGCGGAAATAATTTGTCTATCTAGAGGCTAAAGCTCTATACTTGAACATCACTTATGTCAACGGAGTGAAGTCTCTTGATGCTTCTTGATTTCATCTTCAAGCTTTGCGTGCCACATGTTCCAAGAGATGTTTAGCGGATGTGATAGTTTGATCTTTAAGGTGCAGTGTGGCGGAACGTGATTAGATCTTGCAACTTATGATACTTCACGAGCGTCTACGGGAAGATTTTTCAAATATCAATTGAAGCAGACGAAGCACCAAAATGCATTTTTATCAACTTCATGTGAATCCTATGCTTGTTTACTATGAATAAAAATACCTACTTGTAGTAATCTCTACATCCTTATGTCATACTATCGCTATGCACAGAATTGAACCTCATAGGCTTGTAATTGAGGAAATACGTTGGAGTTAAAGTAGTAGTAAATTATATGACAATGGGTATATTGAGGATGAAGAGCATGTATTTGTTATTTGTCCTAGCTACGGAGATGTTAAACTTGCTCATAATATTGATGTGAAGAATTTCTAATCTTTATTACAAATAGATACTCTTGATTTAGGTTTTTATATGAGAGAGATCATTACTTACTGCTCTAGTGCTCTTGGTACTAGCTATGTATTGATTTTAGGAGTCTTTTCCCTTATTTGTGGTTTTCCTCTTGTATTGTATTTTGGAGACTTTTGAACATTTCGATCCCCAATCTTGATCTATTACCATTTATGTTTTCAGTTGTGACAATATGTGAAAAAAAAAATTTCACATATTGTCACATAGAACTCTCTTGTAGCATATACAAGATAGTATGATACAATTGATACTAGCATGGAATTTTCAAATTTTGTACTAAGAACTATTTATCAATAATTCTTGAATAGACTTCTAGAAATTCTCTTGTAAAATCAAAACATTTCTACTGTTTTGGTAACAAATTCTAATTTGACTATGAAATAATTATCGATCAATCTTCTATCTTTCTGAAAAAAGATCAGATTTACATTATAATTAAAACTGAGTATTTCATGTAATAGCATCAAATTTAAATATTTCATCACTTAATTTTATGTAAATAATGAGAGGAGACCAGTACCGATATTTGGCCTGCAAAGACGGCTTCAGTAAATAAGTACCTAACTTTGTGTTCGATTGTTTTTGAATCCGCCTTTTATGGACGAAATTGAATATATAATCAACAGATATCAAACAACCGTGAATTTAAAGTGGAATTTTAGTGACTATATCTCGCTTTAAAGGTGTCGATCTTAAAATTTTTTACCTGAGAATCAGTCATTTAGTGAGATTTTGAGATTCAGACAAAAATTTCAAGCAATTAATACTGTTCTTAGTGTCTCATAAGTTTTGAAAGTACATAAAATAATAAAATACAAGAGAATACCATAGTAGTAGAAAGCAGTGAAGCATTGTATCTCAAGCAAATTCAACCTTTATTCAATCATTAGAAATTTGATGTTATAAAGATCTTGCTGAAAACAACATCAAATTCCATTTTTTCAAATTCCTTAATATAGTTACGATTCAACAGGTATTGTGAGTTTTCATAATATTATGCTTTAATATGAAAGTGTTTTTCGAAAATCACGTAGGATCGACCAGCATGTTTTCCAGGAACGTAATAACGACCCCGCTTATTAAGGCATAGAGGAAGCGG